CTATACCCAAATGGGTATATTACTATACCTATACCCAAATTGGTATATTACTATGCCTACACCCGAATGGGTATATTACTAGACCTATAACCCTATGTATATAGCACTCTACCTATACGTTTATGGGTAGATTACTATACTTATACCTTCTTGGGTATATTAGTATACTTGTACTGCTATGGATATATTACGATATCTATACCTAATGGATATAGAACTATTCCCAAACTTATACGGTAATAGGTATATTCAGGTATAATGAATTTTCTTTGGTAAATTGATTTAATGAGGAACAAGTAATTATAATTAACTGAAAGTCTTCAATCCGATTTTGAAAATTATAAGCAATTTTCTGTATTGATCTTATTATGAATCCTATAATCGATTAGAATCTTCGGAATAGGATGTTTTTTGTGATAATATTATCGAATTATAATTAGTGTAGTCAAATTATTTCCGGGAAAATGCTTTTCGTGGAAGAAATCCGATTAACATCTGTATAATCGAAAGTAATCCTGAGTTTTTATGTGATATTTTGCACTGAGTAGTCGCAATAATAAGTGGACTTATACACTAAAGATAGAGATATATTGCAATACCTATATGTCGATCTTGATTATTCGTGATATTCAACACAATAAATAGTCTTCTATAATTAAGTATAGAAATATCTATTGGTGTCGGTTGTTCGAATAAAAGTACATTTAAGTGAAAATCTTTTTCAGTTCGGTCTAAATTACACGTAGATATCGTTGCTTTGATTGAACTCGGTTGCAAAATGGTTTCATGTGAAGTTAAAAATGGTTTTGTTAATTGAAATATTACCCAATATTAGTCGGTTTAATGCAATTTATTTTTGTATATATATTTCCTAGCGATACGAATAGTGTGACTGTGAATTTCTGAATAGAAAAAGCGACATGTAAGATCGGATGCGATCAGAAAAGGTCAAACAAGATCTACCTTACCCTCTCTTGTATATTTCTTTGCTTTTGAATCTTATCTGAGCGGATAAGATCTGACATGAGCCATTTAGTCGGTTCTTAAATTTTTCTTAATCTTCGAATCTTACAAGATATTTGCTGGAGACTTTCATTCAGAATCTGATGAAATCTTGCAATAAATTAACTCGTATGTGATTGTCGGATCTTATGCCAAGATCATACAGAAAATCTTGTATGGATAAGATCTGATAAGATCTTGTCCGAAATGACGTCTGACTTTTTCACCTGGGAACGTACAATGTATCTGTTCGTGTTATATAACCACGAAGTGAACTACGCAATGGTAAAATTTATGGAGTCTAGAATAAGACTATCCAACCGAAGTATCTATGGACACAAATGAGCATGACTCAATAGTTTCTTTCTGCTCTATCAAAAGCCAAAAAATGTATGATGTAAAAAGATGCTATCCATTTTTTGATGTAAAATTCAGAGTACTTTAGAAGGAAGCTAAATTTCGCTACTTATCCAGCGCTGTCCTTTGAAGGACCACTTTGATATGAATCTACAGTAAGGTCATATTAAATCAGTTTAGCTATAATGGTACATTTACATAGACATGAATTAGATTCTGTAACTTCTGCCACGGCTGAAAACATTTCAGTAGAATAGTGAAAATCTTGGAATACTGATGATATAGCAACCCATCCCGCATTCCGCTTGGTTAGGCAGAAGAAAGAATGAATATCTATATGAGATTCACATTTCCTCTTTTGTTGGATCTGGACTCAAAGCTTTTTTTACCTTACTTCTAGATATTTGCACCAAATACATACTTTATCGATCACTTTCTTGTTTACCATATTTATTATTTGCATTAAACAAGAGCATTTGGGAATCATGGCTTGCGCTATGTCCTTTGAACCTATAGCAATAATTGGCATGTCTTGTGAATTCGCTGGTGGCATCCATACGCCCATCGATTTTTGGCAGGCACTTGAGGAAAGTCGTGATCTAGGTAGTGAAATACCTGTCGAACGGACTGATTTCTTGTCATATTGTGCTCATATAATTAATCAGGATGACGGTGAATTCAAACGAAAGCTCATACGTCGTGGTTATTTTTTGCCAACATCGGCGCTTGACACCTTTGATGCAGGTTACTTCAATCTCTCAGATGGAGAAGCAGTTACGATTGATCCATGTCATCGTCTTCTCATGATGAAATTCGTTCATTTGATTGAAGACGCTGGTTACACTTTGGAACAAATCCGTGGATCACGTACTTCGGTGCATATTGGTCAATTCTCAAATGATCATGCATTGGGCTCACTTCGGCTTAAACCAGAACATTCAACACGTTTTCATGGTCCGCATATACTGCTGTACAATGCATCAGCTCGGTTGTCCTACCACTTTGATCTACATGGACCTAACCTATCTCTGGATAGTGCTTGTTCAACAGGCCTTCAAGCCATTCATCTTGGCGTACAAGGATTGCGTACAGGCGAAGCAGACATGGCTGTTTGTGGCAGTGTTAATACTTTTACGACACCTGAGCAAATGTTCCAATATTCAATGTTCGGCGCCTCTGCTACTGATGGACGAAGTCGAGCGTTTAGTATTGATGCCAATGGTTATGCGAAAGGTATAGATAAGATTGCTGCGAGACAATCCGAAGCGTATTACGTTTTTAGTCAAAAGTGTCATCCAGATTATTTCAGTGTGACGCGTAAAAGCATAGCAACTTTTGACATTGTGTTTTTCCGTTTTTACTCATCGATGCTGCCGAAGCATTGCCTCAATCTGTTTGTAAGATCGCTCTACAGTGTTTCTACTAGACACCATGAGTAGGAAGCCGTTGGATTTTAGATTAGTTTTGAAGAAAGAAGCTAAAATTTGATACTCAACGGTAAAGCTATAGGTTAAACATTTCTGTTGTAGTTTCTATCTAGAAAATACCTTCACAATATTTCTTGAGAAATTGCAAAAGGAAAATGGTAAAGATAATTTTGTCATACTAATTCCAGCATATTTTGGCATATCCAAGTATCAATGTTCTAAAATTTATCATATGACAGCGAAGCTTTCTTCTTCGCTAAAATGTAATGATGCATCCAGTTCGATAAGCGCGACGTCTTACAAAAGTCTCTAATCTGAATAAAAAAGATACCTTTCAATTTATTTTCCGCTTTTCTAGTTGTCTTCAAAGGTAGAAAAAATAAATCTTGATTCATTAGTGAGTTATTTGTATTGCCATTTCATAGACGTTTGTTCATTCAATAGTGTCATAAAATAGGCAAAATTCAAAAGCTCTTTTAAATGGAGACCATCTTTCTTATTGCAACTAAGCTGAATTTATAAGAAACTCCATCAGTCTCAATCTATCTTTTTCTTTCTTTATCTTTCCCTTATGAATAAAACTTTTATCTTCTATAATGCCACTGTTTACAGATTTTTGACTGTTCAGCTTTGACTCAGGTATCGAAGTTCATTTTCAGAGCTTTACTCTTCAACTGTTAATTTTACAATAGACAATAGGAAGCATTGTAGAATGACAATGAAATTCTCTCAATTCTTATTTATAGATCGTTATTTCCCAGTGAAAATCATACTTTCAAGTTTGGAATTCAAATTTTACGTGCAAAAAGATCTGACTGGACTAATTTGAATCTAACATTTCAGAATTTTCGAATGGTATCTTTTCGAGAAATAAATTTTCCGAGATATCAGTGTCTTTTCAGTGATATTTTAAACTTTGATATATTTGGGCAACTCTTGTCTCAAATACGATATCCAAAGTTTGGAAAAGCTTTAGGCAATATCATTTAGTTGATATCTTTATTGAATAGAGCTTTAGCTCAAAATTCACAGAGTGATTTTGCTAGAATATCGAGGCTCTAGAAGATAATTTTATTAAAAACTCACAATATTGCAAGCATCAGATACAGACACAAACGCTTTCATTTTATTGATGGGCCATCAGATGTTACAAATTATTTTTGTGAAGAATTTTAGTTTTGAAATTCTGAAAACGCGAATGTGCTAAGTATATGTTCGATGTAAATTTTTAATTCCATTTGCTTTGAAGTGCTATCGTAGCATCAAAGATCTACATGAAATGATCAGTAAGCTGAAAGCTCGATAATGTTAGATATAATTTAGTTTTGTGGAGTCTTATTTAATGGATATGTCTTCGATTGAGAGTTCGAGTTGTTTTAATGAGTTTTGGATCAAAGATTAAAATGTCTGTTATGTTTTAGGTGAGGGCTTAGGTCTCGTTCTTCTCAAACGATTGAGTGACGCTGAACGGGATGGCGATAGAATTTACTGTGTACTACACGATGTCTTAAGCAATCATGATGGTTCTGAAGGTAAAAACAGTTATGTTGTACCGGCAGCCGCTGGACAACTACGTCTTCTTAAAGAAATTTATGCTAGAACACAATACGATCGAAATCGTATCTTCTACGTTGAAGCACATGGAACAGGAACACAAGTGGGTGATCCAACAGAAGCCAATACTATTGGTGAATTCTTCCAACGGTCACCTTTCGATCCTCCATTATTAATTGGATCCGTTAAGAGCAATATTGGGCATACGGAAGGAACAGCTGGTATTGCATCTCTTATTAAAACAATAATGTGTATGAAACATAGAGCGATTCCACCAAACATGCATTTCAAAGCTTATAATCCAAAAATTGAAACAGACCGGTTTAACCTGCATGTGGTCCAGACAATGACTGTATTTCCTCCAATTAATATTGACGATGAAAAAGAATATCCAGTAGCTATTGGCATTAGTTCGTTTGGTGTTGGTGGCAATAATGCTCATGCTATTATCGAAGAATATCATCCAAAAGAGAGATCGGTCAATGCAAATGGTCATGTTGAAGAAGAACTACTACAACAGCATGGTCTTTTTATCTTTTCCAGTATGTTGCCTATATTATACTTTTTCTTAACTATGTTTGACTTTTAGCAAAGAGTAGTGGATCACTTTATAAACAAGTAGTATCGTTCAATGAATGGTTACAACAAATAGAACACCAGGATGATGATCGTTCTTTTCTTGCACGTATCTCTCAACAATTACTGCTCAAACGCACCATTAGTCACGAACATTTGGCCATTTTTGTTTCAGCCAATCGTGCTCAATTGGAACAACAACTTGATCTTTTTCTTCAAAAACAATCAACACCAGGACTATTAGTCACCAAACGCATTTCATTAAATTGCCCTCGCATATGTTTTGTTTTTAGTGGTCAGGGTCCTCAGTGGTGGGCCATGGGTCGAGAACTCTACTCATCTGAACCTGTTTTTCGCCAATGGATACAACGAATCAATGAAGAACTCATAAAAATCAATGGTGGTGAATTCAACTTACTTAACGAAATGATTGAGAAGACTGAGGAAGAATCACGTGTTAATGACACTAACATCGCACAACCGGCCCTATTTGCTGTTCAAGTAGCGCTTGCAGCACTTCTCGTCTCGTGGCATATCTTTCCCAGCGCAATTGTATCTCATAGTGCAGGAGAACAAGCAGCCGCTTTTATCTCTGGGCGAGTTTCATTGAATGAAGCAGTTCGTATTGTTTATAATCGATCGCGTCTTCAACATCGAAATACTCGTCAAGGTGGTCGAATGTTGGCTGTTGCTATGAATGAACAAGAAGTACGAGATTCATTACTCAAAGGAATTGAACGCCTGATATCTGTTGCCGGTGTCAATAGTCCACGCTCAGTGACACTTAGCGGTAATGAAAAAATTATCGATGAACTCGAGGGCATTCTTACAACACTTCATTCGACTGTGTTCAAAGCTCGACTACGGATCGAGAACGCATTTCATTCGCATCAGATGGATCGCTTTGGCATCAGAGAAGAGATCCTTTCAATACTTGACGATATTCGAGGTCTTCCTCTTAAAAATACACAAGAAATGTTTGATATTCGTTGTGCGCAAGCTTCACTTTATTCACCTGTTACTGGAGGTCGAATAGACGATAAAACGCCGCTTGATGCTCATCATTGGTGGTCAAACATTCGCCAATATGTTCGATTTGGTGATGCTATTCAGGCAATTATTCAAGATGGAGTCGTCGATGCTTTTCTCGAATTATCACCTCATCCTGTTTTGGCCACATCAATACGAGAATGCTACGAGAAAATGTCTACCATTCAGCCAATCATTTTGCCTACTCTAAAACGAAAGGAAGATGAACAGAAAACACTGTTGGCAAGCATTGCACAACTCTCATACTCACCTGACGTCTGGAAACACTATCTTGCATCTCGATGTGTTCAACCAAGTCAAGATGTGGAACATTTATTTAACAACTTTCCATTATATGCATTCAACTTAACTCCTTGTTGGTATGAATCACAAGAATCTGCAATAGAACGTCTCGCTTATCGTCTACCTCTACATCCACTACTGGGTGTTCGTCAGTGGACTCAACACACTTCAGCAATATGGAAAAGTTTGATCAATCTCAATATACCTGAACATGCCTATTTATGTCAGCACAAAATCCAAGATGCTATCCTTTTTCCAGCTGCTGGATTTCTTGAGATGGCACTAGCCGCCTGTCGTCAGCTCTTACCAGTAGCTAATAACGATGAGACACCACCACCGATCGCTTTTGAGCAGGTTGAATTTATCAAAGTTCTTGTTCTTACCGAGCACAAATTGACCGAAGTTGTGACACAAATTGTGATGCCGATGCGTGAATGGTTGATTTACAGTCGACCATGGTCGGCAGCTGGACAAGATTGTCGACGATCTTCTGGCATGGCTTGCAATGATTTTATTGATTCTTTCGTTGATCTCCAAACATTAAATGCATATTCTCTACGTCAATTTACTCTGCATGCACGAGGTCGCATTGATATTGGTCCTCATTTGAACATTCATGCCTCGTCAGCCTATCGATTCAGTAAAGAAGAAACAACAAGCTGGTATGATCTAAATGTTCCTAATCTCTACGACCATTTATCCACAAGAGGGTATCAATACGGTCCAAAATTTAGAATAGCAACTTCAATCAAAACCACAAATTCAGAAGTAACGGGTCGAGTTACTTCAACTAATAGTGAAGAAAACGATGTACGTTACTATCTACACCCACTCATTATTGATGGTTGTTTCCATACATTCTTGTCTATTGTACCAGGAATCGAAACATTCCTTCCAGTTGCCATTAACAAGATGATTATTTATGGAAGTACTTGTCATTTGTCTCAATTAGTGACGCATGGATCCTATCATTCATTTCTTGTCGGTCTTTCGCAAGAGCGAGCTTATGCTTTGGATGCTGCCATATTTAATAGTAATGATGAAATGATAGAATCCAATACGAAACCAGTCGTCATATGTGAAATGTTCAAAATGCAACGCATTCCTGGTTGTTGGACACTATCTGATAAGTCCATTTTCCAAAAGATAAATGAAATTGTTCATCTACCAAATGGAGATTATGATAATCATGTACAGACAATTTTATCTGAATTTTGTCTACAAAAGAAATGGTCAAGTCTGTTTAATCATCTGACTAAGACAGTCGATCTTTTACCATCGTCGAACACCTTGATGAGTGAGACAGAAAGACAAGAGATCGAAATGATGAACAAAGACAATGACAATGACAATGATAATATCAATAATCAACTAGCAAATTCAATTGAGCCATTGAATGCTTTAGCTGGAATGTATGCTCTTCAAGCATTACAACATCTTGCTTCATTAGAGAACATTCAACTGATCGTTAAAGACAAATTGTGTCATCTTGTGCGAGACGATGAACCTCATTTTTTCCTATTATTTGAAGCTGCTTTTTCACTTGTTCATCAACATGGACTAATTGATGAATGTGGCAATACCACTACGACAGTGACAAATCATTCGATTCAGCTAATTCATCAAAATCTTGTTAAGCAATTTCCTCGTCTCAAATCATTCATTACTCTAATGAATGCAATCGGATCCAAACTTGGTGATATGCTCTTTGGTGGACACGCTCACGAAGAATTATTTACACAAAACAAGGAAACTGAGTTAGCTCTTGAAGATGTACAGAATACTATTTCATTTTTAAAAACACAATGTGTTTTTCAAGCACTCATCAATCATATGCAGAACACTCGTCCGAATTCGTTACGCATTCTATTATTTGGAGTCAGTATAAGTTCGGTTTCAGTGCCTATTATTCGTCAATTGGCTGATTTTGCTGAAGAAACAGGCACATATGTTAAGGTTCTTTATGTCGATCTGACAGAAACACTTCTATTAGAAGCTGAACAAGCTTTCCAGTCCTGTCTACCAAATAATAACAAGAGAAATCAACGAATTTTTGTCTCTTACCGTGTCTATGACATAGAAGCTGAATCAAACAACTCAACTCTGTTAGGTAAATATATACTGTTTTGCTTAAATGAACCTGACCTTATAGATAAAGATGGGAGATCATTAGTTTTTTGTCTTAATCTATGTAAAGGCATCATAATTAAGGCTACTATTAGAGATTGTGGACAAATTGAAAAACCATGTCTGCAAAGTATATTGGCGGGCCTGAGCTTTTTTAGAAATGATACAAAAGTCAAAAGATCAATCACATATCTGAGTATCGTGCTTTGAAAGGATCAACCCATATAGTACTCCTATTCAAAACATAGCTTAACAAATACAATATATCCCAGTCAAATATAAAAGTTAAAAAGCGGTGTTTCACTGTTGTTTTTCCAAAAAAAAACTTGCCCTTTCACGATTTTGACGTGTTGGCAAAACAATAGAATAGGAGGAAGAAATATAAACAATGTTTCATGTCGGATTTTTGTATATTGAAACTACCTATATTTCAGCGGATAAAATATTGTTCTTTGTGATTTTTTTCTTACTTTAAGAGATGTCTTAGTATTTTCCTATTTAAATCGTGAAACTTCGTCGATTGATAGAAAGTATCACCTTTTCTAGTTTTCTTCAATATTATAATGGTATTCTGCTACCGTTTCCTTGCAGACAAAACACATAGTTTATCTGAAAGGAAAAAAAATGATTGAAAGTTTCCTTTAACGTCGAAGTGTAAGAATTGTGACACAAGACTTCAATCATTATGATAAAATTCTATGTTTAAAATTTTCAAATGAATACGGCAGCTCTTTTGATGGAAAGATTATACAATGAATCTATTTTGTCAAAAGGCATTTTCGACATTTGAAGTACTTCAAAAACGAGATTATGTTCATGGCAGGATTAGCCAAGTGTAGTTTCTTTTTCTTATGCAGAGTAGTTTGGATTATGTCTCTCGGAAGCGCTTACAGCGATGCGAAGAAAGAGATAACAGCGAACAATTTAAAAAACTGTCGTCATGTGTTTGATACTAGTACTGCTCCCAGATAGACATTTTGTCTTACAACTGTTAAGCAGACAAGGGAACTGGATCAGAGAATAGAATATGTAAGAGATAAAAAACAACAATTGTATAGAAGAAAGATGAAAGTCAAAAAGAAAGAAAAATAACAAGAAAAAGGAAAAAAAGAAAACAGGAAAGAAAAATGATGAAGAATAAATGTACTAATCTCTACATCTTTTTATGCATTCTAATTATTTTGCGAACTTAACATTACTTCATCGCTGAGGCGACGTTGTTGACCTTGACTAACTAGTGAATTGATCGAAGTCCAGTATGATAGTTGGTGTATTGGTGAAGAGTGAAACATGTGTTCCATATTTCGGATCTCTTTTTCCTGTTTTAATTAGGAATGCATAGCGACAGTATGCAATACATGAACCTACTAAAGACATCAGCAGTAGAATGAATAAAATTGTAAACACTCACGTATAAGACCAGTTTTTCAAATTCATTTTCTCTTATTGATTGAGAATTCCTTTTCCGCTCTGCATGGTTGTTATCCACGTGCACTGTACATGTCTATTCCCATAGTAAGATGAGTGAATTTGAAAAATATATTGATCACGATGTACTAAATAGAATATAGTAGACGAGAAGTTTCATTAACTTGTAGTTGTCTGTGATATTTTATGTTGACGAGTGATAAATGAGAGCCATCATCATTGTTTTGATGCTTACAAGATGGTTCGATAAGGTTGATATTCTTCTATGATAGATCAAAAAGGTGTCCGATCCGAAGTCCCTCATGTTTTTCTCTGTTGTTTGTTTTCCAACCAAGAAAGTTGTCCCAATGAAATATATTTTTATAAAATGGTGAACAACCCAAGTTCGTGCGATGTGCTTTCGCTAGTTGGTGTTGCAAATATTTTTGCAGATACCATTAGATCGGATAAGTCAAGTATATTTTTTATGAGTGGGCAAAACACATATGCCAAGACAAAAATCATATTTCAATTATTAATGTTTAAGATTGATATGTAAACTCACTATTGAAATAAAGCAGTAGATAGGGATTCATCATTTACTCGAAGTAGCTACATTTTTATCAAGATAAAAACGATATCTTACTGTATTGTCAAAGAGCAGAATTCTAGACGCATGAGTCAACTAGATTGAACAATTGTGAGGATACGTATGTCTTTGTTTATAGTTGACGCGAACTATTTTTTCCTAGATTTTTAAATGTATATTTCAGTCAACTGTAGTGTAGCCGATTCAATTAAATCTTTGATTTTTAACTTGTTATTCTATCACAAACAGTTCCTCTGAAGCTTGAACAACACAGCATGTTCACTATTTTCTAGTAATATCTTTAGATCTAGATGTGCTTTTACCGTCTTTAAATCATACTCAAAATATCAGATTATAGTTTGGATCTAGGTGAGTCACTAAGCGATATCAATCACACACATATATGAATATATATATATATATGTAAATATACAATCACCTGCCTTACTATGCCTCTCTGCAGGAAAAGGTATAGGAATGAAAAATATACTCCAGTAGGAAACGTTCTCTCTCTATCTAACGTAGTGAAAATATCAATCGATCAAGTTTCTTTACCTTTCTGCATATTTGCTAAGTACACATAGCCAATAAAATGAACGAACTAAGTAAACCGAATAACATTGTTCTAAAACCACCTATAATTATAATTTTACGCTACATAAAATGTGTAATTTTCTGAACATATAATAATTCAAAAAAACTGCTTCGTAGTCTAAAATTGTTCCAACATTATATTCTTTATCATTGGTGACGATTCAAAAAAAACACTAGTTTTTATCATTTCTGTCATTTTTTCAAGTGAGTGTGGATCTTCATGCGGTTGCATTTTTGCAACATGTTTCAATCCTACACATGTTCAGCAGGATAAATTATCCATTCGCAGATTATTTGTGCCCTTGTATCCATTCGCCCCTAAGTCGCTGCAATAAGATGAAAATTTAAAACTTTGATAAGCAAATGACTCGACTAATCATTTTCCCACTTCTCTCTAGATAAGGTTTTTTGTGAAAAACGCTCTTTGTAGTTTTTATCATCCAACCAAACAAACATTTCGAAAAAGTACAAACTCCATATATTAATGCACAAACTACTGAGATTTTTGGTTCAGATCAGTTTCTGTGATAATCAATGTCAGACGATACATTTGTTTTTTGTTGAGATTTTGTAAACTATTTTGTGTATTTTATGAAAAACTTATTTTGAAACACTTCAAAAGACATGAAAGTACGAGTAAAATGCGGCGCTTGTCGCAAATTGTGACCAAAATTGATATGAACTGTAAATTTGAGTAGTTTTGCATTCGTTCACGACATCCGTACTTTTTCGAGATGCTTGTTGGACAAGGCATTACGATCATTTGTCAGTGTCTGGTCTGTACACTATGTCTCACATCTCTATAGTTAAAAATCCGTCTGTTTTTTGTGAAGATTCTGTGTCGATTGTTACTGAGAAAAGCCAGTCCAGTTTCAGGAGATCATCATATCCCTTGTTTCTTGGCCAGTTACCACACTTGATAATCAATACTAAACAAAGGTTCTTCCATGTGTTCTATTTCATTTATCAATTCTTCCTTCTTCTTATAATCTGATAATGTGCTCACGAGTATCATTCTTCTCTTAGACTCAAGATGATGTTCATCAAAATATGAATCAAGTCTAAAGAATGCCTTGAGGTCGTTGCACACTTAATCATCTTTGATTTCTATTTTCACGCTTCATCTTCATATGATCTTGCGATTTTTATTTTAATTCATATCAACCTGTTTTGATGAGATCTCGGTTGAATTTTCTTTTTCTCGTTTTGATACTCGGATGATGAAGAAATCAATAGCACCTGAACATACATATATAATGAGTACGTTTAACAAATTAGTTTGATTATTCCTTTAGCTTCTTCTAATTTCTAACAGAGTGTTATAGAAAACGTGAGCAAAAGACGTTTACGGGCACTAAAAGTTAATACTATTAATCAACTATTTTAACTGTTAGAGTAGCTTTTCAAGAATAAAGTTTAAAGAGAGATACTGAGTTTCTAGATTACCTGTTGAAGTTCAATAGTCGAAACATGCGCTTGTTCCAATCGCTTATGAAACATACTGACTGCACATTGAGTAAAACTTGCAAGTTTCGTAAGCAATGCCACCAAGAATACAAGTTGATTGTTCTGCTTCCATATGTATTCTTAAAGCTATACATATTTCTTCAACTATATTCTTGAAAAATACACAACTGTTACGTTTGAAGTAATCAATTAGAATCAGAAATTTTAATTTACGACGAGCAAATGATTGTTGGTAGTTTTCACACAAGAGCGATGACATAGTTTAAATATTTGGACATACTTATTTTCACATTGTCAAAATATGAGAGTTTTTCTCGAAAGTAGTGTTTGTTAAGAATACTGTTAAACGACGCTTTTTGACTGACTGAGATGGAAAAATACGTAGATTTAGTCGAATGCAACGTATATATATATTGTTTACCTATTTCGAGATGAATTAAAACATGTTTTGATCAAATATTTCCCTAAGTGTTTTGATAAATGTACTTGATATATAAATCGTCTTTGAGCACAATAATTCATGTTTTAAAAGTTGCAAAACTGATTTATGTGTATGTTTTGTAGATGAATCCCATGATATTATCTTTGTGGCCAGTGGACTTCAAACAACAAGTGATATTAATCATTCACTTGATTCACTTCGTCGTCTTCTTGTACCAGGCGGTCTTCTTCTCGTGATCGAATTAACATTAACTCATTCCTACTTCGATCTTATATTTGGTTTATTTCCTTATTGGTGGCGTGATAGTCACAGTCGTGCTCCACTTACTATTGATCAATGGAGACAAGCATTTCAGTCAGTAGGTGGATTCGAACCAATGGTAGTATCAGCAAAGGCAAACGCATTTGGAGATTCTCTCATGATTATGCGAAAATCAACAGCAAGATCCATTCTCATTCACCTTTCCGAATGGCAAGATCAAGCCTGGCTCTTATTTGCTGATCGTGGGCACAAACTGTCGTATGCACTTGTACCTCATTTACCAAGTTCTAACATTGAAATTCTACAAGATACTGTCACTACTGATCATATTTCTTCAACGATTGATATCATGTTGAAACAACATAAACAATTGCATATCATATTTGCTTGGCCACTCGATGTATTGCAACTTGGTCAGAATAACAATGAAACAAGATTTGAATCGCATGTAGAGCATTTATGCTACAAATTTGTTTACATTCTGCAATCTATTCAAAAATATCATCGACAGCATAGCTCATTTCCATACACTTTTATTCTTACACAAAACTCTCAGCCAATGCATGGAAAGAGTGAATTCAATCCGAGAATAGCACCACTCATTGGACTTATCCGTAGCTTAAGCGTTGAATGTCCACGTCATCACATTAAACTCATTGATTTACAACCAACAGCAGACATATTCGCAGAGTCATCTTATTCCGACATTCTCATGCAGCATATGATCAACTCACGGGAAGCCGATAATCTTGATGAAGTTATTCTTTCTCTTGAGGCCGATCGTCGTATTCGATGCTTTCAATGGTATTATGATTGGTTGCAATCAAAAGAACAGCAGGAATTATCATCAAAAATGGAAAGAACAATCGTACCCAAAAATGACGCTGACAAGAATCCATTTTGGCTTCAAGTTGCACCATCGCGTTTTGTAGCTGATCTTGTTTGGATGAGAGATCCAATACCAATCAATAATCTATTACCTGGTCAAATTCAAGTCCGCATTCACTGCACTAGTCTCAATTTCAGAGATGTCCTGAAAGTACGTGGTCTGTATCCTCACACACGAGTGTTTGGTCAACGAGATTGTGATCAACCTTTACTCGATCGTGATACTACTCCTGGAACTGATTTTATGGGTACTGTTATTCTTTCACATTCTATGGATCTGAAGATTGGAGATCGTGTCATTGGTTTTTGCTCGTCAGGTACTTTCCATTCTCATATTATTCTCAATACCTCAGTTGTCTCTCGTGTTCCCGACGAATGTTTGTTGTCGGATGAACAATTGGCTGCTCTGCCTACTGCATTTTTCACAGCACTCCTCTCCTTGAAACATCGTATTAGACTTAAGCATGGTCAGACCGTTCTTATTCATGCTGCGACGGGTGCCACTGGTCAAGCTTGCATTCAGTATTGCCAAGCGGTTGGTGCTCGGGTTATTGCTACTGCCGGTAGTGATGCCAAGCGATGTTTTCTACGAAAGCATTATGGAATTGAGCATGTATTCAATAGTCGTGATTTGGCGTTTGTCACCGAAATACGCTCTCTTTTTCCAAATGGTATTAATGTCATTGTTAATTCCCTTTCGGGTCCACTTCTTCAAGAATCATTCAAACTACTTGCTCCTCACGGTCATTTTATTGAGCTCGGCAAACGGGACGTGTACGCAAGGACTAGTCTACCAATTTTTGACTTGCGACAAGATTGTAATCTTCATGTCATTGATCTAACATTACATGTCATTGACGAACCTCATACCATGCATGAAATGATCAACGATGCTTGGGACCATTTCCGAAGAGGTCTTTTCAAACCATTCGAACCTTTGACTATTTTTGAGCCGTCTGAAATAATTGATGCATTTACACAATGCAGTCTTGGTCTATCCATGGGAAAAATGGTAGTTCGTATGACAAATTCTGAACAGCCCCTCTTACTTAAAGAAAGTGACATGAACACGAGCATCAATGAAAATTCCAGCGAAGGTATATTAAATTGTTAATCTAATATTTATTGCTAGCATTCTTTTTCTTTTTTAGGATCAATGTTTCCGTTTGTAGTGTGTGAAAGTGGAACCATTCTCGTTTCGGGTGGATTGGGTGGTCTCGGACTTACTATGTCTCGTTGGATGATAGAAAAACGAGGTGTCAAGCACATTGTTTTAATGAGTCGTCGTACAATTGAACAGTTTGAAAAAACCGAAAATAATCCACAATTAGAAGATTGGTTGCAACTCAAAGAAACAGCAGTTAAACATAACGCCTCAATTGATGTCGTTCAAGCAGATGTTACTCATTTTGACGGTGTTTATGAACTGATTAAACGTCTTAATCAAACATCACATCCAGTGCGTGGCATTATACATAGTGCCGTCATATCTGATGATAAATTGTTGACCAATCTTAGCCAAGAGACACTCTTTCGCGTTATGGAACCCAAAGTGCGCGGTGGATGGAATCTTCATCAAGCGTCACAACAAATCGGTGCATCTTTGCATTTCTTTATCATGTTCTCATCAATTCGCAATCATTTGATTGATCCCGGATCGAGTGGTTACAATGTAGGAAATGAGTTTTTCGAAGCTCTAGCACATTATCGTCGTGAGCAATTGAAACTACCGGCTCTGTCGATTGCTTTGCCAGCAGTGCATGGAGCAGGCATGTTTCATCGACAACAAGCCATTTTGAATAATTTACTAATTGCACAAGGGATGGAGATGTTGCCTACAGTAGCTACATTCGAATTAGTCGAACGACTCTTTAGCATGCAAACAAACTATTCATCACCTATCGTTTTTGCTGTCGACTGGAAACGACTATATGCCAATAAAGCTAACTTGGCTAATCATCAGTTAGTACAATTTATTGAGCAGCAGGCTACTCAACAAGGTATTTCTAATGTACCAGCAAATGACTCGGGTTCTTCATCAATAGCCAATATTGAAGTCATTACGGAACGAATTCGAGAGACAGTCATGCGTCTTCTAGGAGCATCCAATATTGATCGAATAGATATAGATCGCTCGCTGCTTTCACTTGGTCTAGATTCACTTGCGGCCGTTTCACTCTATAATTGGCTTAGTCAAGAATGGGGTGCATTTATTACGGTAGCAGAGATTTTTCAAGGTATTAAAATTTCAGAGATTGCTAGTCGAGTGCAAAAAAACCTGGTAGAACGACAAACAACATCAGGAAAAATAGAAACTACGTTATCAAGTGACATGGAACAGATGGATGAAGGTGAAGGTGATTTAACACTTTCTACAACCAAAAAGGCTACATCGTACAATGGCATGGAAGGAGTTCTTAGAGTTTTTCAAGTCAAAGATAGTAATTCGGTCATATTCGCTATTTCGTCCAGCAATACTATCACTGACGAATGCCTTCGAAAGTTCGCCAATAAGAAATCAACCATTTATTTTCTTCATGTCACCATAGATAAACTACATACGGAAATTTCCACTCGTGAGACTATCATTCAAATGCGTCGATTGCATCCTCATGGTCCTTACTCATTAGTGGCTTTAGATAATGAAAGTAACGATATTATCAAAGAAATAATAAAGCAACTCCAATACTATACAAAAGCTGGTGTTAATCATCTCAGTTAACAGAAACTATTACCAATAATGACTCTGCCTTTTCTTGATTGTTAATACTTAATGCATAATTTAATCCTGCTATATACTAATAAAAGTGAGTCTCAATAAAAACCTACCTTAAGAATTTCAATAGATCGGAAAATGAAGAAAACTTGATCACTTCTGTTCATATTGATGATAAATGATTGAGCAGCACCCAACTCACTATTCAAAAGGAAGACTGTCTGTGAGAAAATTTTCAGTGTAATCCTTTCGGGATTAAAATATGAAACTCGATGGTAAATTTTAATTGTTCATCTGTATACTGATCAAATCTCTAGAAAAGGTCTAGGGAGCTGTAAGTTGAAAATGTCTGCAACGATTAGTGATAGAAATTTAGATACTGAATTCGATAAGCAGATTAATTTTTGAAACTGATTAATTATTCATAATAGAGAAGGTAACAGAACATCTTGAAATCACCTGTTCAATTATCTGTGTCATAAAATGTATAAATACAAATTATCTAAAGATATTTGCCCTCTGTTGCGATTGATATCTATCAAAGTCAAATAAAGTGACTGACGGAAATGAAGAACGGGTGAATCCACCAGATTTCTACCATTTTGTTCTTCTTATTTTTATATTTATTTTTATTTTTTGATTTTGATTGTCTAGTTAGACGTATCATTGTCGAAAACGGTCGGAGGTAACAATTAAAATCTTTTTGGACATATAAAATATGAAGATCTATATCATTTTTTAGGAACACCTCAAGAAATTCAACAAATTTATAAATAAATCAAGTAATTTTTACTGTGAAAATCACTTGATTTGTATGTGAATTTGCTGAGTTGTTCCTATAAAAAACAATATAGATCTCCATATTTTATTAGGTTGAGGAAAAAGTTCGTGCGCCGTGTTAAAATAATGATTTTTTATATATTTTTTTTTGTGTTTTTGATCTGGTTTTGTGGCTATTATGAAAATTTATTGATTTTTCAAGATGTCTGATTACGAAATCACAAATTTTGAGCTTCGCGTATTGCTGCGTCATTATTGGAGAAAGAATTTGGATGCAAAAGCAGCTGCCAAAGCAATTTGCGACGTTGAAGGTGAAGGTACGGTGGCACCGCGAACTGCACAGAAATGGTTCAAGCGTTTCAATGAAGGCGATTTTGATCTTGAAGACAGGCCACGTTCCGGACGACCAACGGTTTTGGACGAAGGAGACTTGCAAGCCTCTTTGGATGTTGAGCCGTCATCAAGCACACGAGAATTGGCTAAAGAACTTGGTGTCGATCAGAAGACAATTTGGAATTATCTCAAGCAACTTGACTTTGTCCACAAAAAGCCACGACAAGATCCACACGAGTTGACCGAAGCACAAGTCGCCAAACGAGTCGAAATTTGCCGTCAATTGCTCAACAATCCGTTGGATGACCGTTTTTGGAAGCGAATTGTGACATCAGACGGGAAGTAGGTCTACCTGGTCAATCACGATCGAAGCAAGCGTTGGGTCCCAAAAGGTCAAACTCCTCCGTCCGTTTCGAAGCAAAATCAATTTGGAAAGAAGATCATGATTTGCGTTTGGTGGAACTTCGAAGGATTCTTGCATTTTGAACTTGTGCCGAATGGTCGCGCCATCAACGCTGAACTTTACTACGAGCAACTTGATCGAGTCTACGATGCGCTGGTTGAAAAGTACCCAAGTCTTGTTCGTCGAAAACGCGCTTTGTTTCAACAAGACAATGCAAAGCCACTTACCGCCAGAAAGACCAGCAACAAGTTTGAAGAATTGGACGGTGTCGAAGTTCTGCCGCATCCAGCCTATAGTCCAGACGTTGCTCCATCTGACTACGATCTCTTCCGATCAAAGCAGCACTTTATGAAAAGTCGCCGATTTGAGTCATTCGATGAAGTTGAAGAAGCATGTCAAGAATTTTTCGATTCGAAGCCGAAGGAGTGGTACTTTGACCAAATCCGAAAGCTTGCAGATCGTTGGCAGAAGATCGTGGACAATGATAGTCTTTATTTTGAAGAATAGTTGTTGTTGTTTTTGAATAAATTCATGCATAAAAAATCATTATTTTAACACAGCGCACGAACTTTTTCCTCAACTTAATAATATCCAGTGTGGCGACTTCTTCTTCCGTTCTCCTTAGTTTGGTTGCGACTGCTGGTGATATCCAGTATGCCGACTTCCTCTTCCCTTCATCTTAGATTAGTTGCGACTCCTGGTGATATTCAGTGTGCCGACTTCCTCTTCTCTTCACCTTAGTTGTGTTGCGACTCCTGGTGATATCCAGTGTGCCGACTTCCTCTTGCGTTCTCCTTAGTTGAGTTGTGACTGCTGGTGATATCCAGTATGCCGAGTTCCTCTTCCCTTCATCTTAGATTAGTTGCGACTCCTGGTAATATCCAGTGTGCCGACTTCCTCTTCCGTTCTCCTTAGTTGGGTTGCGACTGCTGACGATATCCAGGTTGCCGACTTTGTCTGTCCTGCAGATTAGTTGGGTTGAGAATCGTGGCGATAGCGAAGGTTCGCACATCGTCTTCTGTGAGTCTTTTATGAGTTGCAGTTCGGGCGATATTTATTGTGTGCAGTTCCGCTGATCTGCATCCAGCGATGTGTCGGAAGTATGTAGGCAGTGGAAATGCGAGTCCCTTTCCTCTTTACTTCACGGTGCTTGGAGCTTTTCTGAATATCTGATGCCCGCGTGCTTTTTGTTTCGGCTGTATAGTATTGGCAGGCACCGTTGATATGTTAGTCATGCTTGTTGTGGGAGTGTTTCGGTTCGTAGAAGTGTTTGAGGAGAAAAGTTTTAGGGCGTTGGATGTTTTGAGGAGCCGTGTCGTGGCATGGTAGATGTAAAGTTTTGGTTGATTTTGCGACGTGAGTTTTGCGGAAGGAGTGGTGTTTCTGTTGGAGTTGGTGTTTGCGTATGGGATGGCTTTCGTATAGCTGGCATAGTTGGGGTCTGATGAAGGAGAAAGGCGGTGGCGAAAGAATCGGAAATCTGAGGACTAAGTCATCTCTGATTTTAAGCGACATCAAGCTGATGGCAAGAGTACATAGATTGTGGCCAACTAACTTGAGTCAGATTTTTTTCCCTCCAGGAAATCTGTTGAGGCTGGTTTGCTGCGATTGTTTGATAAATTCAAGTGAGAGGTTGTTTTCTTTAAGTATGGTTTCTGTATTGTTGGATTTTGTGAGTGGTTCTTTAACCGATAATGAGTGGTCCATGTTGGGGTTGTTGCGCTGAATAGGTATGTTGAGGCTAGTAGAGGATGTTGTGTGAGTAAAGATACTAGGTCTAACTGCATGAAGCTGTTTTTGTGTTTTGCATTAGACGAGTTTTATGGACGCTAAATATTATTTTCTAATATCTGTGGATTGTGTATTTTGTTTTGAAGATTAATGGTGACAAGGCATGGCCTAATGAGTTAGTTATAATGAATTATGAATATCTCAGGAGTTGGTTATTATAACACAGATTTCTGTCTCGTTGTATTTGCTACAATGAAGAGTAATTGAGCTGGAAACGGAGATCGTCTTTTAAATTGTTGAGATTTTCTAAAATAGTTTCAGGATAAGTTGACATTTTCAAGAATAGAGTTGGCGAATCGGAGATCAGTATTCTTTATGAATGATAGAATTGGTTCTTGCTGGTTTTTTTCGTGATCGATATAATGTCTATGTTAGAATTCGTCGCGTTTGATCTTCATGTGTCTAATAACAGCGGTTAGTTTCTAGCATTGGAGATATTGTTGTAGATACGATTTCAATAAACATTTTCTACTGTCAGTCGTAGTTGAACTTTTGTTAAAGGAAAGGCTCAAGTTTGATCTGATGTTTACTCTCAGTTGTTTACATTGATATGACGTTAAGATGCCCATGTAAATAAATAAGCAGGAAAATCAACAGATGCATGATTTTAATCGATTGCAGGAGTAATTAATTGATGAAAATAATGCAATTCTGAGGTTTTTTGATAAAATGAAAGATTGTAATTGGTTTTTTCGCATAATTGATTACGAATCATTAGTTTTTAGCCGATTATAATCGTTTTCTTCACTGGAATTGATTATAATCGATGTATAGCGGGTATAATCGATTAAAATCAAATTTTAGCAATAATCAATTTTCATCAGCAGTTGATGAGTGTTTTTCGATTTAAATCAAGCAATACTGATTTTAATCCACCGTAATCAATTAGGTTTTCGAATCGATTATAATCATTGGGATAAGAATCGCCTAAAATCAAGTCATATTGATTATAATTATTAGTATGGGTGGAGTATTTAGCTTAACTTAAAATTTAGTTTAGTTTTATTGGTTGACACTTAACATCAAGTTCAACTTTTTTATACTAAACATTTAACTCACCTAAAATTAGGTTTCAGCGATTGGTTTACGGAAAATTTACTCAAGTTCGAGCCTTTCATTACTCATAAAGAGGCATGTGATGCTTTTTTTCAACCATACAAAAGAGAATTCCTGATAATCTCTGATCAGTGCCGAACAGCCATAGGTCTTATCCCTACTACTGACATGTAATTGGTTGATGCCTCTTTTTTATCCACTCATCAGATTCGAGGAAGCTGCCTTCTCTGCTATTGAAAGAACAAAAGTCGATTTTGTTCGAAGCCGATTAGAGGTTATCATGGATCCTCTTAAATATGGCTCAAACAATAGCACAGTACGTTCATTTAGGGGTAATGAATAACTTGACATTAAACGCTATTGTTTTACGACAATCACTTAAACTTGATCTTAAATATTAAGTTTGTCATTAACACTTAATTTTTAAAATAAAATTTTCAGAAGAAAACCTTAAACCTCATATTAAGTGTTAGATAGTAAAACTTAAATTAATTTCAAGCACATGATCCATATCTTGTCGTCAGGGTACAGGTCTGACGAGGCAGCATTCCCACGTACTAAAAAGCTTTTGAGATCAAAATTTGTCCACCGACAGGACACATACACACTAGACAAGGCCTAAAAGGATATAGGAGCAAGTTAC